CAATAAATGAATCTACTACACCTTACCAATTCGGATTTTCAGAGCTTTCTCTGAAGACTGATTCTTCTTTTAGGGTAGCATACTCTGTCCACGTAAGACAGTGACTCTTCATAGACATCATTCTTTCTTGCATATTAAGCCACGACTCCTCTTCTAAGTAGACTTCTGATATTTTCAGGATACTAATCTGCCAGATGTAACATTTACAATGGTCAATAAATGGAGTGTGGGGAAAAAAGATCAGATTACGTACATTAGTAAATAATTTCATTCTTTTAAAATCATTAATAATTATATTAAGGCTAATATCTATCAGTAACATGTAACTACAGACAAAACACTGACATCTGATAAACATGCAAGCTTTTATTGGTTATTTTCATTGCTTAGTAATTTGTTAAATGTTGCCAATTGCAACATTTTAAAGCAAAGCATTAACTTTATGTGTGTCATTTTATTTGTCTTTTAAGTCCACTTAAATGTAACAAAAGAAAAGCATCAACTGTTTGTACACAAGACATAATTACTCAAAACATTTGGGTTTATTTTTCATTGTCTTTGGTACCTGTAAATTTTATGCTTTCCCATCTAGATGAGGCATGGAAAGAGTAAAAAGAAATGTGGTAAAACTGAATTATTATATTTTCAATATGTAAGATTAAAAAAGCATTTTACAAAGTTGCATGGTACATAGCAGAATATATATTATAAATATTGTAATTTAATTTGAAAGTTGAAGATATAAGAAGCTTAAAACAAGAATCGCCATCCTACTTTGATTCTAGAGCTAGATTGCCTATCTTGTAAAAATGTTGCTTTGATTGTTCTACAAATCCACATTTTGAGATAAGAACTTTGAATATCAGTTATCTCATCTCTAAGACACAAAGTCGGATTTTAAATGCTGTCAATTGTAACTCCGAAAAGTTAAACTAATGAATTTTGAACAAAAGCGTAGTTTGCTTATATCACTTTTATAATGAATTTCAATAGACTGAACTTAGTTACCTTTCTTAAAATGTATGGAATTACATTTTGGCATGTTGCAATCCTTCTCCGATATATGACTCCTGTAGACAAGTCTGATAATAAAAGAACAAGTTTTCAGAGTAACAAACAAAATCAAACAATATCAGCAGGAAGTCTTGGAAGCCATAAAGGGATTTAGTTTCCTGCTTTAGCACTCAAAGAATATTGCAGTGTGGTAATCTAGTAAGAATTTTATGCCAACAACCCTGCCTAGTAGTTCTGGAACAACTGATTTAAATCTACCATTTTATGCTATGGTAATAACATAGCATAAAATACAATGTTAAATTCTAACTTTTTAGAATTTCCTGGAACTGCATTGAAATCGCAGTAAATTTTGGCAAATAGCAATCAGGGAGTTAATTTTGGAGGCATTTATATTGCTAGTTACAAGCTTCAAGTATCTTCCTGGGTCAGCACTTCAGAGCAAAAACAGCTCATTCTTCTCACTCTGCATTCTAAAGTACTTCCTAAGAGCATAAACTACCTCTCTGCCATCTAGCAATGCCAATGTTTGAAGTCTAAAGCAATTTTCTTGGACAACAAACATTTATTTTTGCTCCGAACTGAATCAGTGACAAGAATAAAGCTCCTTTCTGAAAACTAAAGCACAGCCTCTTTCTCGAATTATAGGTATTGACCTACAATGCAAACGTGACTGGCTTCTAAAATCAATTTGCATTTTAATTTTTAATGATTCCTGATTAAGTCCATAAGCTTCAGAAATATGTTATTTGATAACTTGGGTGGGCAAATAGCCTGGAGCAAGGCCATTTCTTGCTCTTCAGAAAAGGCAACTCTCTCTGAAACCTTATCTGAATATTTCTTCCTGGGAAACAGCATGCTGCAGTAAATTTTAAATAGACGTAGTGGCACTATATACGGATTTCCCACTTGGCATATTTACAAGGAGTCATATGCTGATTATTTCCAAAGGAAAAAAAAGTGTATTAAAATTGCATGCAATGGCGAATACAAATTTTAAATATTTTGAAAAATAACTTGGTATCCTTTCCATCAGATTATTTCCTTAATAAACAAACACGTAAGGCAACAGTTGGATACTAAGTTGTTGGAATGACCAATCTTGGTTCTACAGTTCTTCCCAGAAGTAGTAATTACTCATTTCCTGACTAGTATTTGTATTGTAGATGCAGATCCTTTTAGTGTATTTTGTACTAGTAACTCTACTGTAATGAGATCCTTTTTTCCTGCAGACATGACATTTCTACCTCTGTGACCCCAATCTGACAGCCACATTGGATAAGAAGGCAGTTCTTGGGGGGAGCTGGGAGAATTGGAGCAGTCATTTAGGGACAAGGAACAATAGCTGAATAAATCTGTGATTTTAAAAAAAAAACTAAGAGCTTTTAAAACAAAGATGCTTGCAGAGTTTGAGTAATAGAAAAAGAAGACATAATTGATACACTTCACAGATGATGATTATTGCTAATTTATTCTGAACCACAGAAATTAATCACAGAACTAAGGAATTAATTATCCCTTTTGACAGCAACCAGAGATTGCCACGGGATTCACCTTTTATCCTAAAAAAATTGCTCAAAGGAATTTTCTCACAATCCTGAACTTGCTTATATTTCTGCTCCAGCATTAATTTTCAGCAGGTATGCAGTAGTCATAAAATATATGAAACTGATTGGGATGCTTATGCATAGCTGAACAAAATTATAAAGCTCCATTTTACTTACTGCTGCAAAATATCAAATACTACATTATAACTGCCAGGGACTAGCAATTAAATACTTTCTGCCAACTGAAGAGAAGACTTTTATATGTACGTATGTTAATATTTTCCTTCTTATCAAGATGGGTTGGTAACACCTAGCAGTCCATCTCAAATCTGATCAGAATGTAGTCTCAAGGAAAGAGGAGAGGTATTACAGGACAGAAAAATAAATAGAAAACTGGTGGTCCAGGCAGGTAGACAATGAAACAGGTTTTTATCTCTAAAGCTTCCAAGGATATGTCAGCTCAGTACAGTGGAGGACAGGTAGAAATTGACAGAAAACTTGATTTTCTTCTCACTCAACTGCACCTCAAGTCAATGTTTACCCAAATGGTAGGAAAACTACAGAGCCAAAAAACAAAGGATTATGTCTATTCAGTTCTATTTCTCAGCCCTCTAAATAGGCTGAGTGAGGAACCTTAGCCAGTAGGGTTATTGGTGAGAGATGCCAAAGTCTGCATTCCAGCACCATCTGAAAAATCTACTGATGCCTCATCTCTGGTCTAAGTCATTTAACCTGTAAATCACATGTTGCAGGTGAAACAATTGTCGTCATATATCCAGTGGTAGGATTCAAATATGTGAACAACCGATTCTCTATGTGGATGCCGCTTCCAGAAGTCCATTCTGGGTCTGGGCAACAAAAAATTAGCTACCGGTTCTGCCGAACTGGTGCAAACCTGCTGAATCCCACCACTGCATATGTCTCTTATATTTTGAGACCAGGATCCATAAAAGGCTAAGGCACTAAATATGTCCACTCAGTATCTGTCATTTGAATGACTATCAAATGATAATTTTTATGATCCAGAAATTATTTTTAACCAAATATATGTGCCTCCCTTTCACATCATTTTCCCCTTAAAAATAGCCAGTTTTTCTTTGATATCCATAGCTTTAACAGCACTGCTGTATCTCTTAGAACTTCAGCCACCCTTCTGCAACTCGTGAGCATTTTTTACCTCAAGAATTTTCCTAAATTGCTGAAACAGATTATTTCAAATGGAACAATTTAAACTCAAAGGAATGTAGGTGGTTCTCATTTAGTGACTACAATTGGGACTTTGCAAATTAAGCAAAGAGGTGACTAAATGAAACTACAACTGTACTTTAGCTTTCCTTTCCTTTACAGACCTGTGAAGGTCATAATTTCAAATAGTCATTAAATGAGGCAGTTGCTAATTGAGGATTACCTGTACAAGAACCCAACAGTACAAGAAATTTACTAATTAGTGAATTTTAGTAATTAGCTGGCAGTGCAATCCTATCCATGTTCACTCTAAAGAACCACAGAACTCAATGCAGTTTACTTTTGTTAAGTGAATACATCAGCCTTCCCAAGCAATGGTGCTTCAAATGATGAGAGATGTGGGGTTTTTTTCCCCCATAACAATAATTTCTCGACATACTGTCTGGCCCAATTTCAGCTTATTTCATTTCTAATTGAATCCAAGGTAGACCAATTTTCAATCACTTTCTCCCTTCCTTGCCCATAGAGGCTTAGCATCTTGTTATCATGCTATTTATGTATGCATTTTTATAGCTTGCTCTCCTTCCATTCCTCGACCAAGCAGAATGGTGTTTGTTTACAGCTTTAATACTATGCTGTCCCAGTTGCAACTATGCAGGGAGCTTTGAATGCCAGTTTAGTTCTTTGTCACCAAAGAGCTAAAACACACAAAACATTCACATTGTTTAGCTCATCTAAGCCGGACAAAATGATTTATTTTTCGCACAGACTACTAGATACAAGTTAATAAATACTGTAAAACAAACTATGATTGGTTGACTTTGCCTCCCCCCCGCCCACATACACATAACAGAAGAGTGATCAAAATATATTATTTTACCTAGAGTTTTACAAACATTTATGCTACTTTGGGATTTTTAAAGTTTATTTTTTTTAAAGTTACATGACACACTTAGAAGTACCTTGCATGTATCTTTGTAAAATTACCAAGAATAGATAAATGCATGGTTGATGAGGTATGATTATAACAAGCTTTTTCTTTTGGAAAAGGAGGTGAAAATATTTTGTTAGATGCATGCAAAGGAGGTGGGTAAATTGTAAACTGTAAATGAACACAAAGGACAAAGAACCATTAGTTAGCTAGGAAGCAGGAAGGACAAACATTGATTAACTTTGTCTAAAAACTCTAGACTATCAAAAACTATAGACACAGCATCATAAGGAACTGTACAGGGTAAAGACAAGCAAGCATATTCTGATTAAAAATAAAGTCCAAAGGTTTGGGTGTTCTGTAAATCCTGAAAGTATTTTTCAATTGCCAGAATGGAATTTAGGAAAACTAAGGCTCATAATGAACTAAAACTTGTAACAAAAATCAAAGATAATAAAAACAAGTTTCCTTCAACATATAAAAAACAAGAAAAAAAGTCAATGAAACAATTGGTCCACTAATGGAAGATGGAAAGGAAGTGATGGACAGTAAGGAGAAAGCAGAGCTGCTTAATTCTTTCTTTGCATCTATCTTCATTCAAAAAGAAAAAAAATAGCCTAACCTATCAAAAACAGAACAAAGACAGACTAGGAATTTAAATTAAAATAAGCAAGAAAATGGTAAGAGAATACCTCTCCACTCTAGACAAGTTCAAATCACCAGGATCTAATACAGGGGTCTTCAAAATTGGCCCTTTTATGACTTGTGGACTTCAACTCCCAGAATTCCTCAGCTAGGCATGCTGGCTGAGGAATTCTGGGAATTGAAGTCCACAAGTCATAAAAGGGCCAAGTTTGAAGACCCCTGATCTAATGGATTACATCTCAGGGTTCTGAAGAAGCTGGCAGAAGTGATCTCAGAATCATTGTACCATATCTTTCAAAGATCCTGGAGTACCGGGGAACTACCTGAGGATTGGAAAAGAGTTGATGTGGTTCCTATCTTAAAAATGGGGGGGGACAGATCCAGGAAAGTATAGACCAATCAGCCTGACATCAATATCTGGGAAGATCCTGGAAAAGATAATCAAGCAACATATTTGCAAACACCTAGAAGCAAGCAAAGTTATAACCAGAAGCCAACATGAGTTTGTCAAAAACAGATAATGCCAAACAAATCTTATTTAATTCTTTGGCAAAGTGACTAAATTAGTGGATCAGCGAAATGCTGTGGACATAGTATATCTGAGAACAATAAGCTAGTGGAATGGCTTGACTTCAGAAGTTCTGGGTGCTCCATCACTGGAGGTTTTTAAGAAGAGATTGGATAGCCATTTGTGTGAACTGGTTATAAGGACTCCTGCTTGAGCAGGGGGTTGAACTAGAAGACCTCCAAGGTCTTTTCCAACTCTGCTAATCTGTTAATTGCATCACTGAAAAAAATAGTGCAAAAGACCACATGGCTGATGATTACGCATCCTGCTAAAAGATCTAGGACAACTTATAGCACCATACTCATTCTCCAATCCAGCCTATTAACACAGACCATCCACCCAGAAAGCTACAGAAGTTTCATTTCCAAAATTAGACCAGAGATCTAACTGGAACAGATGTAAATGACTATCATGTCAAAGTATCTTGTACATTTCTATGTAAAAATACCATGTCACTATTACAGTATGCATTGCCTCATAAATATTCTTAAACTAATTAAAGGCAATAAATTCAACAGCAAAAGATTCATTTTCTATAGAGTTCTATGTTTATTTCTATTAGTGGATGAAAATTAAATAGGCATTCTTGAATACTTCTGAATGTGTTCTCAGTTACATGAAATTAACATTTTCCTGATCATTTTAAACAAAGAAGAAAGTAAATCTGTTTTACTTATTTTAATCTTTTTTATGTGGCTTTTCAAAACTGAGTTTTGCAGGGCAGTTGCATTAAAATTGCAATATAAAAATTACAATTAAGCTGAATTAAAATACACAATAAAAATTAAAACAGCCATCCAATTATTAAAAACATTTCAATGCAACATGTAAATTTAAAATTAACATGAATATATTAAAAGGTTGAGAGCATTAATGCTTGGCGCCAAAAAGGCAGTAAAATCAGCACCAGCGTCATGGGGGCTGCTAAGGAAAAGGCTTCAGCCTGGTGACCATTTGTTGATGGCCAGCTCAGACTCAGTAAAATCTGAAATGAAGGAAGCTGCTCAAGATGCTCAGGACAAATATTAGCCTTAAAGGAAGCCTAGCAACTAAGCCAGGGCTTTTCAACCTTTTCACCCATTGTACCACTTTTAGGATATGGCAACCTCCGAGTACCACCAATCGCCTAGCAAGGTGTCAAAAACTGGATGACCCCCCCACAAAAGGAAAAAAGTGATGAAGTACAAGTAGTCCTCGACTTACAACAGTTCGCTTAGTGACTGTTCGAAGTTACAATGGCACTGAAAAAAGTGCCAAGCAAGACACCTGCCTGCCTGCCCGCCCGGTGGCGCTCTTCCTCCTGTCCGAGGTTTTCATTGTTGTGAGCATTTCTGTTGAGGATTGGCAGCGGGGGTGGGGTGGGGGGATGTTTGGTTTTTATTCCCCCCCCCCCGTCTGCTGGGTGGTTGCAGCAGGTTTTGGTTACTCCACATGACCCTGGGACACTGTGACCATCATAAATATGAATCAGTTGCCAAGCATCTGAATGTAAATCACAAGACCCTGGAGAGGCTGCAACATTCCAGCTGATCAGCGCTTCTTCTGGGCTCAGCAGAAACGCCAGGATCAGCGCCGAGTTCCAGCTGGACCCTGGCACTGATCCTGGCGCTTCCACTGAGCCCTGACAGCCCTGCAGCTCCAGCCATCTCTCGCTCAGGCTTGTGCGGTGCTGCCACGGGTTCAGCTCATTCCCCTCCCCTGCTACCACTTTTCTAGGATGGTCGCGTACCACCTGCCAGGTGCCAGGGTACCACAGGTGGTACCCGTACCACTGGTTGAAAAGCCTTGAACTAAGCACCCAAGGCTGACATGAATGAGGAACATTCCAGTCAGCTGGAAGATGAGAGCTGGATTGCACATCTCCTCCTAGCCCTAGAACAGTGGTGGCGAACCTATGGCACGGGTGCCAGAGGCGGCACTCAGAGCCCCCTCTGTGGGCACGCATGCCGTCGCCCCAGTCCTAGCCCTTCAGCTGGGTTTTGTAAAACCTTTTCGCTTTAGGTCTCTGCCACCATGTGCCAAAAAAAAAAGGTTCAATCAGTCAATTTCAACTTATCGCGGGGAAAAAAAGATCTTGCAAAGTTGGAATTGATTGATTTAACTTTTTAGTCCCACCCAGTCTGCCGTTACCACCGCAGCCATGCCCACCCAATGGGCCACACCCACCCGGCACTCGACGATGCATGTGGGTTTTGGGTTGCAGTTTGGGCACTCAGTCTCTAAAAGGTTCACCATCACTGCCCTAGAACATGCTGAACTGTGTGCAAGGAGAACAGATCAGTCTCACTCCTTCCATGGAAAGGGCATTTCTTGATGGCTTGATAACACTCACGCAGGATCCATTTAAGAGCCATCATTGTTTGGCAATTCTGTTGAGAATAACTTCTGCTTGCTGAAACACTATGCATTTGCATCCCAGAGCCTGTTGCCTGAGACAACTCCATTTCTTGGAACGAGGATCTGCAGAGACGTATTTGAGTTTTTTTAGATTTCTGGATTATAACCTGTTTCTGCTCCCCACTTTGCACTCTGGCTCTTCAGAGCTCATTGTAGGCAAACAGTCTGGGAATTTGAGGTTTTGCTGCTTTGTGTGTGCATTTTCACAAAAGCTCTGCTTGTCACTGCCTAGATTTACTAAACTCTAAGTAAAGCTTTTACTTCTCAGGTGTGTGTGTTTATAGAGGTGTATGTAGGGCTATCTGAAGATCAGCTCAGGGCACAGGTAGAAACTTCTAGGAAGAGTCCATTGGAGTTGGGTGGCTTATAATTCAAATAAATGCAGGTAAATAAATAAACATTCTTCTGATAACATGGTCTCATGCCCTAAAGGGCTTTATAGATTAATATTAGCACTTGAATGAGAATTGCAATGAACTGAGAGCCAAAGAAGCATACAGAAAATTGACCTAATATTTTCACAATGCCCAAGTCTAATCAGTATTCCTGCTGCTGTATTTTGGACTACTTGGAAGTTTTCAGATCATTCACAAGGGCAGCTCAATATACAACATATTGCAGTAATTTAAACAATAATTTTCTAGAGCACAGATTACAGAATCAAGGCTAAGTATGGCAGAGCTGCACATTTTTAAAATGCTTACCTGTCTTCTCTTCTATTGTTTTTACAGCAATAACATTTTTCTCCATGGGACTGGGATACTAGAGAAAAATGCAAAGTGTAGACATCAGAAATTATTATGCAATAGAAAAAAAAATCCCCAAACTACTTACCAAACCTATAAATTTTTAATTAATTAATTAACAATTAATCAGTGGAATGGCTTGCCTCCAGAAGTTGTGGGTGCTCCAACACTGGAGGTTTTTAAGAAGAGATTGGACAAAAACATTTGTGTGAACTGATTATAAGGTCTCCTGCTTTAGCAGGGGTTTGGACTGGAAGACTTCCAAGTTCCTTTCCAACTCTATTATTCTGTTAAACACTTTTTTTTTATTTCTCAACAGTTGGACAAGGAATCTTAATTTATGCCAATAAATTTGCTGTGACTGTTGATTAATTAAGAAATATATATGGGAACCAAAATCAAGAAAAACACCAAAATGTTCTGACTCAGTTACAGTGGGAGACTTGACTGAACAGATTGGAAATGGATTGTCATGGAGAAAATCTATCTATGTGGTCACTAGGAGTTGAAAAGGACTTGATGGCACATATCAATCAATCTGTTCTGAATTTTAACTGTTTCAAATGTTAAAAAAACCATTTTGAGTAAGATATTGCTATTTGGGTTCATTCAGAGAGCCTTTCTGAGCTCAAGGCTTCCAAAGTTGCCAAAATAAATCATTTCAAACAACACAATTTAAACTCAAAGTATTACACGCCACGCTACAATACTTTTTATTAGTGAATTTTAGTAATTAGCTGCATGGCAGTGCAATCCAATATTCATATACAGTACAGGTAGGTCTCAACCTATGATGACAATTGAGCCCAAAATTTCTGTTGCTAAATGAGACATGTGTCAAATGAATTTTGCCTCATTTTACAATCTTTCATGCCACAGCTATTAAGTGAATCACTGCAGTTTTTAAATTAATGATACCGTTGTTAAGTGAATCTGGCTTCCCTATTGACTTTGCTTGTAGGAAGGTTGCAAAGGGGATCACATGACCCTGGGACACTGCAACCGTCATAAATGTGAGTCAGTTGTCAAGCGTCTGAATTTTGATCACGTGACCATGGGGATGCTGAAATGATTGTTAAGTGTGAAAAATAATCTTAAGTCACTTTTTTCAGTCTGTTGTTAACTTTGAACAATCACTAAACGAACTGTTGTAATTTGAGGACCACCTGTACTCAGAAGAACCACATAGGTCAATACAGCTTACTTATTTAAAGTGAATACAAAAGTCTTCCCAACAAAAAAATTGGGTAGGATGAGGTAATGCGCTATATTAAGATGATATGAGAAGGCTTGGTATGGATGCAGCAGAAATTTCTTCATCAATACCACACCCAAAAGAGCTTAAAAATGGATAAAGGGTGGAGAGTGCACACTATCATTGCCCCTACTTTGCCTATCTACCATGTTCAGCTGTACAAATATTTCCAAAGCATGCTACACTTGGGGTTTCAAATCAAACAGGCAGCTGTACTTGAATTCTAGCAAACAAAAGGGTAATTTTTTAGCCCTCTGTCTAAATATATGGAGGCTAGAGAAAACAGGAGGATGGATCCCCAAGGCCCTTCTTTTGCTCATTTTTAAATCCTTGTGTGTTTAGGTGAATGCTTTAAAACTGGAATATTTTGATTTTTTTTTTTATTCTGATCTATTCTCTGAAAATGCTGACCTGGGTTCCATCCTCGAAATTCTGCCCTAGCAATGCTAACACTTCAAATTATCATTATATAATAATAATAATAATAATAATAATAATAATAATAATAATAATAATAATAATAATAGTTGGAAGGGACCTTGGAGGTCATCTAGTCCAACCTCCTACTCAAGGCAGGAAACCCTATACCATTTCAGAGAAATGGCTGTCCAGTCTCTTCTTAAAAACTTCCAGTGTTGGAGCAATCACCGCTTCTGTAGGCAGGTTGTTCCACTGGTTAATTGTTCTGTCAGGAAGTTTCTCCTTAGTTCTAGGTTGCTTCTCTCCTTGATTGGTTTCCATCCGTTGCTTCTTGTCCTGCCTTCAAGTGTTTTGGAGAATAGCATGACTCCCTCTTCTTTGTGGCAACCCCTGAGATATTGGAATACTGCTATCATGTCCCCCCTCTTCAGTAAACTATACATACCCAATTCCAGCAATCGTTCTTTGTATGTTTTAGCCTCCAGTCCTCTAATCATCTTTGTTGCTCTTCTCTGTACTCTTTCTAGAGTCTCAACATCTTTTTTACATCGTGGTGACCAAAACTGGATGCAGTATTCCAAGTGTGGCCTTACCAAGGTATTGTAAAGTGGTATTAATACTTCACATGATCTTGATTCTATCCCCATTAATGCAGCCTAGCACTGTGTTGGCTTTTTTGGCAGCTGCAGCACACTGCTGGCTCATATTTAAGTGATTGTCCACTAGGATTCCGAGATCCCTCTCACAGTTACTATTACTGAGCAAGGTACCACCTATACTATACCTGAACATTTGGTTTTTCTTGCCTAAATGTAGAATCTTACTTTTTTCACCATTGAATTTCATTTTATTAGATAGCGTCCAGTGTTCAAGTCTGTCCAGATCCTCCTGTATCTTAAGCCTGTCTTCTGGAGTGTTGGCTATTCTTGCCAGTTTGGTGTCGATGAATTCCCCATCTATTCTGTCCAAATCATTGATGAAAGTGTTGAAGAGCCCTGGGGCACCCCACTACACACTTCCCTCCATGTAGATGCAGTTCCATTGAGGACCACACGCTGAGTACAGCCGGTCAGCCAGCTACGAATCCATCTGGTGGTGATGCTGTCTAACCCACATTTTTCTTATCAAGTAATAGGTTTTGATCTACTTTATCAAATGCCTTAGTGAAGTCCAAGTAAATTATATCCACAGCATTCCTCTGGTCCACTAATTTTGTCACTTGGTCAAAGAATGCAATAAGATTTGTCTGGCATGATGTTTTTGACAAACCCATGTTGGCTTTTAGTAACGACTTTGTTTGCCTCTAGGTGTTCCTGATTCGTTGTTTATCTTTTCCAGAATCTTTCCAGTATTGAGGTCAAGCTGATAGGTCTGTAATTTCATGGATCTATATTTTTCCCTTTTTTGAAGATAGGAACTACATCAGCTCTTTTCCAGTCCTCTGGTAGTTCCCCAGTGCTCCAGGATCTTTGAAAGATATTTTTCAGTGGTTCTGAGATCACATATGCCAGTTCCTTGAGAACCTTGGGGTGTAATCCATCTGTCCTGGTGATTTGAACTCGTCTAGGCTGGACAGGTGCTCACTTATCATTTTCTTGCCTATCTTGTGTTTCTAATCTGTTTTTTATGGTACTGTTTTTGATAGGTTGGACTGATTTTTCCTTTGTGTAAAGACAGATGCAAAAAATGAGTTAAATAGTTCTGCTTTCTCCCTGTTGCTTGTCACCTTCTTGCAATTTTCCCCCACTAATGGACTAATCATTTCCTTAACTTTTTTCTTGTTTTTTACATGTTGAAAAAAGCTTTTTTTTATTTTTGACTTTGGTCGCAAGCTTTAGTTCATTTTGAGCATTAGCTTTCCTCACTTCATCTTTGCAGGCTTGGGCTATTGCTGGTATTTTGCCTTAGTTATGTGCCCTTCTTTCCACTTTTTATACTTGTCCTTTTTATCTTTCAATTTATCAGAGAGTTCTTTATACAGCCATGCTGGTTTCTTTTGAGAGCTGTTATTTTTCTTCTTTGTTGGTATTATGCTAGACTGGGATTTTATTATCTCACTTTTCAAAATTTCCCAAGCCTCTTGAGTTGTTTTCCCTTGGAGGATTCTCATCCATGGAATCCTTCCCAAGCTCTAAGTTTATTGAAATTAGCTCTCTTAAAGTCCAAGACTCTAGTTTGACTGTGTTCTACTGCTTGTGCTTCCATAATGTTGAATTCCAATATTGCATGATCACTTCCCCCCAAGGTTCCTGTGGCTTCAATACCTTCTATCATTTCATCTCTGTTAGTGAGAATTAGATCCAATATGGCTAATCCCCTAGTTCCCTTCTCTACTTTTGGGGAGACAAAGTTGTCTGCTAGGTTAGTCAGGAATCTGTTTGATCTTCCACTTGGTGCAGAGTTTGTCTCCCAGTTGATGTCAGGGTAAAGTCCCATATTATTATAGTGATATGCTTCCTACATACCTTAGTTAGCTGACTAGCAAAAGGTTCATCTATTTCCTCTGTTTGGTTGGGTGGCCTATAATATACACCGATGGCAATGTCATTTTCCCCTTTATATTGACCCAAATGCATTCAAGACAGTTTTCATCATTGTTGTGCTATTTCTGTAGAGATGTAGTTATTTCTTATATAGAGAGCAACTCCACCACCTCTTTTATTTGGTCTGTTTCTTTTAAATAATTTAAATCCCTCTAGCTGTGTGTTCCATGTGGGTTTCATCCCACGTTTCCGTAATGACAACAATATCACATCTGCCCTTATTAACCTGAATTTCTAGTTCACCTTGTTTACTGTTCATACCCTGTGCATTGGTGTATAGACATTTGAGTCCTTTATGACTGACCCTGTTTACTTTCTACACAACCTGTGTGATGCCTGAGTTCCCCTATTTTCTTACCACCTGTTTGGTCAGTGCACTTTGTGTGGCACTCGCTATTAAAAGCTTGATTTTGCTTGACAAGGTGATATTCTTGTCCACACACACATCTATGTTACATGCACTGATAACCTATAATTTTTAGATTGCCAGGGACAAGGATGTTCTGTATCAATTAACTCACTGTACCCGTTTAGTTTAAATATTCCTCCAGAAAATCTGTGAATTTATTGCCAAGTAACTCAGTCCCTTTCTGAGCAACCATCTCTTTATATCATGGGGTAATATGTGTGGTTTAATATCTTTTCCCCATATTTCTGTATCTTTTGCGATTTATTCCTTCCTTTGGTCTAACTGCTGGGCTAGATGAGGGTGGGACTGCAAACTGACTAGCAGAGAACAAATCTTTCAAAAACTGTTGTTGTATAATATATGCAACAACACATTCTCCACATCTTACA